TGTGCCTGTTTAATGTAAGATTTATTAGTGATACAATGATACCATAATGATACAATGAGTCAATATTTGAAAAGTTATAAATGAGAATATATACAGTATCTTTATAAATTTAAATCTATAGCTATTATTATATTTAATATAATCAATGCATTCTTAAAAATTGGTATACCGAAACCTAAATGAATTAATAAGTTTTAATAGTCTACGGTTGATAACAAACAGTGTACAGTATACATGTACATGTATAGTATCAGCATGGAGTACATGTACATTTATGTTTATTTCATTTACATGTAAATGTTGCTACATGTACAGTGTGCAAGTGTAATATTTATTGGCTCAATTGTATGTACATGTATGACTATAATATACATGTGGACTTGTGGAGGTTTACCAATTCACTGGTATATACTGTACATATATTCTCTTAACTCTTATTGACTCACAGATTGATAAAGGAGTGTACATATCAAGGAAGCTATTGTTTGCTGGTATGCTGTTGAGAGTCAGTGGATTGTGGACTAAAGGGGAAACTGTCAAGAGTGGAGTGCATGGTGACTATTTTCCTTGCCTATTTGTTATACATTATTCTATGTTGCTCTGATTCACATTCTTTCTACAAATAAATGTATAATTCTTTCTCTTTGTCTCTGTCTCTCTCCCTCTCTCTTTCCTCTCTCACTATTTTAGGTGTGATTCCATTGACAAACTCCATAAAAGGTGTAAGACCATTGATTGAGAGATACAGGACTCACAACAGTTCAAGGACCTCTACCAGTTTGCGTTTAATTTTGCAAAAATCCCGGGGCAGAAAGGACTAGGCTAGTGACGTATTATTGTACATGTACATGTAGAATCATGTTTGCTAAACTTGCCACACGATGATTTCAATGTACACATGTTGATAGAGGAATTTGGCAAGTGATCCTACTAAAATTTGAGAGTACATGTACATGTATAATTTAATGTACATGTACATGTGTATATTGTATGAATTGATTAAAATCTTTTTTTGTGCTTTTTATTTCTCTACAGATCTTGAGATAGCCATTGCCTACTGGAATCTTTTTTTTACAGGTCGCTTTAAATTTTTGGACTTGTGGTGTGAATTTTTAATAGTAAACAATACTTGTTATTACATGTAAAGGTTACATTTTCTCTCTCTCTTTCTCTCTCCCTCTCTCAGTCTCATTATAAAAGAGCTGGCAATACCCAAAGACACTTGGAACCTTCTGCTAGAGTTTTCTAACAGGATTGATGACACCATGAGCAATTATGATGAAGATGGTAGGTCTATACTGTAGAAATTGTAATGTCCTCCTCTTTAAATAGTTTGTATTTTGTACAGCACTTTAATGTATGGCAGCTTTATTTCTTTGTAAATTCTTTGATGATTTTATGCATATATATGTACATGTACAGCACTTTACTATGAGCATGTACATGTATATGTACATTAATGGTGGGATTATTATTCATAGGTCAGTCTACACTCTAACTACATGTGTATATGTACATGTACATGTACAAATTCCTCAGTTCTTCTTTGTGTCTGATCCAGCACTACTGGAGATACTGGGACAAGCTTCAGACTCACACACTATACAGGTATACACTATACACTAGTACATGTACACTGTTAGTGATAGTAGTGTTGCTATTGTCTCAGTCTTATTCTGAACAATAACAGTATTGCAATATGTAATACCGTATAGCGGATAATTCTGTGGCCAAAAATTTTCATGGGTTTCGCTTTCTTTCAAATTTCACAAAAATAAAATCCGCGACAATCGATTCAATACGGTTCAAGATGGCTGAAAAAAAGTACATGTAGATAACCACAAAAATGAAAGCCAGGAAAAGGATTTTTGAACAGATCCACAAAATTTTTGGGCCACGAAAATTTTTAGCCATACAGTATACTCACTGATTCACACAATTACTAATCCCATTCCTACTCTCATGCAGTCTCTCACCTTCACTACCTGTACAAATAGTAATATTCATGTGAGCCAATTTTTGTGTTGTGTCTACAATAGAATTGCATTAGAGGTGGTTTAAATTTTGTGAGCACAAAAATAATAATTAATGCACCACAAACATTACCATGTATACAGTACATGTTTTATGTATAATGTATTAGTGGAATTCTGTACTAGTAATGTTTCTTTTCTATTTGTCTGTGGCTGTAGATTGGTCTCCTTGGTCTACAGATCATTTGGACAATGGACTCAACCAGGAGCCCATGAAAGAAAAAGGGAAGGGTAGGAGCGCGCAACACCCACGCATTTAATTAAAATCACTGTAGCCTGCATATCCTAATGAGTTTACTATTTTTAGAACAAGGTAAACCACACCCGTTTAATAAAATGGCTACTAGTGTGAAGGTTGCTCTGAAAAAGAAGCTGTTTACATCTTAAGACACTGCACCAGCAACAGATTTATTGAAAGAAATTAAAAAGATAAGTATGCTACCCCCAAAATTCAGCTCCTTACAGTAAGCCTTCTCTCA